GGTGGCAGGGGCGGCGGCAGGAGTCTCCCACATACTATGCGGGCCTCGCTAGAGGTGCGTCCTGTGTGTGTCCTCGCCCTTGAGGTCTTGAGGGGGAAGGGGAAGGAAGGGGCTGTGTGTCTGTGCATGCATGCATGCATGTATGTGTGTGTGTGTGCGCGCGCGCGCGCGCGCGCGGGCGCTGTGCGAGCCGCCCGAACGACCGCGTGGTGAGCACGCCCGAGCACCGAAGCCCCGCGAGCGCCGGCGAGCGCACCGCCGCCCGCGCCCGAAAGAAAGAAAACAGACAGTGCAAACGAGGGATAGGGGAGGAGGACAGGCCCCACACCTGCACGAGCAGGATTTTGGAAGGACGATCAGGGGGACAGGTGGGATCTCCTGCTCCTGACAAGGGACACGACCGCGCCCTTCCGCGGGAATTCTCTTTTTCCGGTGGTGAGCCTGTGTGTGTGCCAGTCCGCGCCAGTCTGCGCCCTTGTCGTGCCAGTGTGCTGTGAGAGAGGCTTGCCGGCAGAATTCTCTTTTTATCGGCAGTGATGCCCAGGCCTAGAAGAGTCTTGCTTTGGCTCGGCTGCTGGCTCGGCTGCGCTGACGCGCTAACGCGGCCGCCTCTGCTGCATTCGCTGCGAGCCCCGCCCGCGGCGCTGGCGGCCGCGCGAGCATCGCCTCTGCGGGCGGTGGCGAGGGTGGCGGCGGCGCGGCGGCGGCGGCCACCGTCGATGAAGGGGGGTGGGATGGTGGACGAGGCGAGCGACGCGGCGGTCGTCGACGACGGGGATGAGATGGCTGGCGCCGTCCGGGGCATGCTGCTCGCCGTGGCCGCATCGATCGCCTTTGGCGGTGGCGTTTGGACGTTTCGTGGCGCTGAGGATGGCTCTGCGTGGTTCGCGGCGTACATTCTGGAGGAGTCGCTGTCGATCGACAACTTGTTCGTCTTCTCGCTCATCTTCTCCTACTTCCAGACCCCCCCCGCATCCCAGCCAAAGGTGCTGCGCTACGGCTTGCTCGCGGCCATCGCACTGAGAGGTGTGCCCGAGGCCCTCCCCTCTCCCCAGGCCTTGGGGGCGAGTGGGCGCGAGGGGCGTGCGGGCCTGGGGCGTGCGGGCGGTGTGGCGTGCGGGAGGCCCTTGCGTGAGAGGCAGAGACTTCCGGGGCTGCCCACGCCGCAACGCCTCCTCGAGTCACCACCTCTCGGACCCTCTCGGACCCTCTCGGACCCCTCGCGCCTGCTGCTGCTGTGCCGCCGCCGCCGCCGCCGCCGTTGCTGCCGCCGCCAGCGAGACACCCTCGCGCCCCTCCTGCGGGTAGGCGTCTTCATCGTCGGAGGTCTCGCTGTGGTGGAGGTCCTCCTCCCTCTCCCTCCTGCCCTCCCCTCCCCTCCCCTCCCCTCCCCTCCCCTCCCTCCCCTCCCCCCCTCCCCCTCCCCCTCCCCTCCCCTCCCTCCCTCCCCTCCCTCCCTCCCTCCCTCCCCTCCCTCCCTCCCTCCCTCCCTC